CTTGCTCCCGCAATACTGAGCTGGCCTGTAGGATAGCCAGGGGAGCTCACCCTAGGGAATTTCAGAAGCACTGCTCACCTTGAGGTGAGTTCCAGAAGTGCCCCAGGTGGCTTTTCAGGAGTGAGTGTAACAACACCTCTGGAGACCATTTCCTGTTGGGTTCTGYTGTCCTCTAACCTGGCTCTCCAGGGCTGAGTCCAGTGGTATTTCTTTCCCCCAGTAGCAGCTTCTGAAAGGACCTGGGGGTGATTACAGAGGTCATCTCACATCTGCAAATTCAGTGGCACACCCTCACAGGTAGATTCTGGAGAGCTCCCTGGGTGCCCAGAGAGTTAAATGAAACCTATTGCACAAGCGACTTCCTAGTGGTTTTCTGGTGAGTTCAGCCAGTATCCAGCCGGCTTCCCAGTGAGTTCAACAGCAGCAGCCCCTGCAGGCGGCTTCCCAGAAGATCTCATCAGCACCCCACCTGGCAGTTAGTTTCCCCAGTTCCTGGCACCTCGACAGGAGGCTTCCAGCTTCTCAGTCTCAACCCAGAGTTCATGCTACCRGTCTCCCCAGACTGCTTGTAGGCAAGCTGTAGCCTATGCAACCCAGTGAGCTTTTCCACCAGCCAGTAGGCAGTTACCACTCCAAGAGCTCTGAGTCCTAGTCACAGGGAGGGCCTCCTTCATTGAGTGCCATCCTTCAGCCTTCAGAAATTCTTCAGAGTTGTATTTTAGGCCCTGTTTGTTTTGCTATAAATAATTATTTACACTTAAGTCCTCTCTTTCCAAATTATTGTGGAGTTTCTGTCTCCTTATTGGACCCTGACTGATTATCATGATAGATATTATTTTATCTTTCTTTTTRTACCTTTCTTTTATGTATTCATTTATTTTTACATGGTGCTGAGGATCAAACTCAGTGCCTCACATGTGCTAGGCAWGTGCTCTACCACTGAGCCACAATCCCAGCCCCTGATATTATTTTATCTTAACCWTAGATAGCTAAATTAGTGATACATA